AATAGAATAGAATCAGAAATAGAATCAGAAATAGAATAGAATAGAATCAGAAATAGAATAGAATAGAATAAATAGAATAGAATAAGAAATAGAATAAAATAGAATAGAATCAGAAATAGAATAGAATAGAATCAGAAATAGAATAGGAATAGAATAGAAGTAGAGTAGATAGGGACATGGTGGCTCAGTGGCTAAGATGCTGAGCTTGTCGATGAGAAAGGTCAGCAGTTCGGTGGTTCAAATCCCTAGCGCCGTGTCACGGAGTGAGCTCCCGTTTCTTGTCGCAGCTTCTGCCAACCTAGCAGTTCAAAAGCATGTAAAAAATGCAAATAGAAAAATAGGGACCCCTTTGGTGGGAAGGGAACAGCGTTCCGTGCGCCTCCGGCGTCCAGTCATGACCACGGAGACGTCTTCGGATGGCACTGGCTCTTCGGTTTTGTAACAGAGATGAGCAGCGCCCCCTAGAGCTGGAAACGACCGGCACAGATGTGCAAGGAGGGAACCTTAGAGAGTAGAGTAGAGTAGAATAGGAGGTGGAAGGGATCTTGGAGGTCTTCTAGTCCAACCCGGTGCTCAGGCAGGAAACCCTACCATTTCGGTGCCATGAAGTAAGGAATCCGAGGGCTCCGGGGGAAGCGTACGGAGGGCCCCTTCACACCAGATGCTCCTTCTGAAGTTAGCGCAAGCGGTGCTTTCTCCTCCTCCTGCTCAGCAGTTTCTGGGTCTTCTGCTTTGCTGGGTAATTGAGTTTGCGGCTTGCAATTATTTCAGGACCATAAGTTGCTCTCTTGATAGCAAAATAAATAAATAAAATAAAATGCCGCCCTGGAACTCTCCAAACGGTAGGAACCTGCTCCAGGCAATTGCTTTCCTCTCGGTGACCCTTTGCGGTTCCTTTCCTTGGCCAAGGGATTAATTTGAACAACATTCCGAAAGTGCCATTTTTGCAAGCCCTTCTTCCCTCGCCCCCCTTTCCCTCCTTTGCTTTTCTCCTCGTGGCTTCAGGAAGTCTGTTTATGTATTTATGTACGTAATTAAAATAGAATGGGAGCTGTAGACCCTTGCAAATTAGAAAGCGCTCTGCTTTTATGGATGGATATTGGTAGGCGCTGCCTTGGCCGACTCCTTGGCCTCCTTTGCATATCTAAAGCAGTCAAAGAAACCCCCTCGCCCTTTGGATCATCCTGGGGAGGATCCAGCAGAAGATCCCTGGGGGGGAGGAGGGTTGGGATCTGTCCAAAGGCAGTTGGCTCTCCTGGAGTTGGTTCTCCACTATTCTGCCCGAAGCAGGTTTCTTTCTTTCTTTCTTTCTCAGCTTTAACATCATTCAGCTTAACAACTGTCGGTGCTTCACTTCACAATCACTATTAAAAGCTTCCTTCCTTCCTTCCTTCCTTCCTTCCTTCCTTCCTTCCTTCCTT